TCTCTCTCTCTCTCTCTCTCTCTCTCTCTCTCTCCTCCAATTAAAAAAATAAAGAAAAAGGCCCTTCTTTTGGGAACCCTTCGACTGGAGGCAGAAAGAACGTTAACGACATGTCGCTTTTAACCCACACGAACCCCCACCCCCATATACTCCAATGGCTATCCAACAAATCCAAGAACCCAACCTCTTACTTTTCTTCTTTTTTACTGCCCCTTTTCTTCTTTTTTACTGCCCCTTTTCCTCTTTTTACTTCTCTTTTCACTGCCTCTTTGGATACCTTCCCCTAGTAAGTAAAAGTCCAAAAAAGACAATACGTGCTAACGGTGTGCTTGGACCATTACAGTTTGTTTGAGAAAAAATGTGAGTAAAAAAAGTGGATAATAAAGGGTCGTTTAAAAAAGTTAGATAGATAGGACACATTAACGATACATTATTTTTAGCTTGGTCATCTAATTTATTTATCTAGAAGTTCAAGAACTCTAAAATGTACGACCCACGCAAAGATTATCGTATTTAATTAAGAGAATGAGTTTCCTTAAGGTATAATGATCGGAGCACTGTCTCAAAGAGAGACTCGGTGAAATATACATGTCTATGAAGATATCGACTACCTACACCAGAAAGATCTTATGAAGCTTCACTACTTGGGTGGAGAGCGAAGAAGGCTTCCTTTTGAGATGCACTATTGTAGTATGTTAATTCAAGAAGCATTAAAGAAAACTCGTTGAATAAAACTTTAAAAGAAAATTTACTTTCTTTTTTCGAAAGTGTTGATCGTTAGGATTACGAGGGTTAAACATATAATATATCATATTTATACATAGTAAGATAATCTACTGATTTACTTGTTTGTTACGATGGATAAAGGAGAATCTATGATTTCCTACGTCTATAAATACGTGAGGTCGTGACCCATATAGGTCACAGTGCCATTCAACCTAACAACGAGAACTCTAACTGAATATACCCTAATTTATTAATCGAAAAAGTGGACAAACAAAGAAGATGTATACATATTAATGAAAAATTTGAAAGTAAAGTGTATGAAGATGCATCACATAAACACACCATCACCCACCACCTTCCTTACCTATTAATTCTTCAAATTAAGTGGGAAAAAACAATTATATATATATATATATTTTTTAAAGGACACGTGGCAACAGCTAATAAATTTGACTTTCGGAGGTACCTTTTGTTTTTGTTACGACAACAAAAACGCTGTCGGTCACGATTTTGTGTCGGCGCTTCTCTTTGTACGCTAACTTGTACTTTCCTCCCTTCATTTAATTTCTTTTTTTTTTTTCCTGTTTTTTAATTTTAATTCCCCTAATTAAACTATTAATCCTATGTTTATTAATTATCGATGGATCAAGAGATTAAAGGTTCGAGTTTTCATTTTTACTCGTTGAAATGTGAATTTAAACATTAAAAAATAATAATAATATAAACGTCTTAAACGTTACGCTATATGTTCGTGTTTATAAACATCTTAAATCTAAAGAGTATAAGAATGTACAAGTTTGAATTGTCTGAGCTAATGTTAGTCAAAGTCAAGTCATGTTCGTTAGCTCGAGGAGGAGGAAGAACCTTCTAACACGAGTCAAAACAAAAAAAAAAATTAATGTTCCTAACCTAATATAGTAACCATCGTGAATTAGCCTAAGAAATTTATTAATATAATAAAAGAATTGAAACGAAGGAATGAGTTCAATTCATGGTAGATACCTACTTAAAATTTAATATTTTACGTATTAATAATATGATCTCAACATTCCAGCCTTTGAACAAATCGAGGGGTACCGAGCCTCGTTTAAGTAGTTATTTATTGGTCAATTCTTAGATATCCTAAGAGGTTAACGTTTATCTAGATCAACTCGTCTTATATCTGATGTGCCCTTAATTCAATAGAGTTTAATCTTGGATCACATAATTGTGAGAAAATCGTCTTATCTAATAAAGTAATCTTTATAATACATATCGCATTTTTAAAATAACAATGCTCGTTATTTTCTGTCTAAACTAAAGGATCCTCCACAAATCTATTGTACGGACCCATACCCATGATGTAATAGCAAAAAATAAATAAATAAATAAACAAATAAAAATAATTATAATATGGTAGTTAAAATAATAATAATAAATAAATAAAAACAACATTTCCCCACTCCTCTCTACTAACCTCTCATCCCTTTCCACAATTATCTCTCCTCGACCCATCTTTAAAATCCTATCTTCTTAACCCAACTGCAAAAAAAAAAAACAAT